ACTCCCGAACACTCGCTGTAGGTCAGCTTCAGTAGGCCCTTCCGCAGCCCGAGACTCCCCTTCAGTTTTGCTCGCTCCAGCGTCAGCCACCACAGGTTTCTAGGCCACGAGATCGGAGTACTGCTGACGAGGCCACTCACTCTCAAATCGCACAGAGGTTTGCCTACGTACGCCTTCGAGATCAGCCTCATGGCGGCCACACCATCTGCTGGCGATGCGTCTGGGACACAGGAACCGGGGGCTGAGAGATGCAGCCACAGGCGTGCTGGCTTGGCAGCACAGAGAAGCATGGATAGCGCCTGGGCGTGCTTCAGTTCCCTCCTTCGTATCCACACATGGCCCGACGGCACTGGAGGGATGTTGCTCGAAGTCATTCCACTCGTTCTAAGTAAAGGGGGCGTTAGAAGCGCATCTACGCAGTTGGTATCCACAGGCATGTTGCAAGCAAGTGCCTTCGCTAAGCTCTGGCTGTGGCCGCTCTCCTCGATTAGTGTCAAATAGTAATTGATATCGTAGAAGTGTACGAAGTCTTTGGCCACCGCCGAAATTTCTTGCTCCCGTTTAAGGTCTATTTTTCCTGTATCATTCGCATACAGGAGACTGACCACGAAGCTTAGTATGGCCTGTTTGTCGTCCTTGAAGCCCTTTAGAAGCTTGGTGATGGTCGCTTTCTTGTTTCCCTTCAGCGTCTCGCATATGTGGTAGGCGACCAGGAAGTTGGCATGCGAGCTGTGAAGGAACTGGAAGGTGATGTGTTCTCCCACACCTGTCATACGGCTCTCGTCGCACTGCATCAGGCTGGACACAGCCTCTCGCGGCCGAAGCCGCAGTTTACGGGCTTCACTATAAAGCTGCTTCACTTCCGGACTGCATTCTGGCAGGGAACTTCGGTTTGACCTTGCATGGCCGAAGGCCACGCCAGCCATCAAGCTGAGCCACTTCTGGCCCTCCTTCGGCACCTCCCCGGACAACACCCGTTTGCCGTTGATGTGGCACATTTTCTTCAGGATGAATTCCGTCACGTTGAGGAAGGTCTTGCCCAGCGTCGAGAACTGGTCGCCGCCCTCCTCCGTCCAGAACCAGGTGGTCCAGCACAGCAGCTGCGGGATGGCCAGCAGTTCCTCGTGGTGGGATAGCAAGTGCAGCAATTCGTCCGGGTCTCCGGATCTCCCTTGCAGTGTTAGCACTTTGCCCACGTAGCTCCTGGCGCTCGCTCTGCTGAAGCCGTGAGCTGTCACCCGCAGTACCTCTCTGTCGCAAAGCCTGGCGATGGCGGGGACGCAGTGGGGCCGCGTGGTGATCAGGAAGAAGGCTTCCGGACACGCCTTCTGCAGCTCCTGAAAGGCATCCTGGAAAGCCTCCAGCCTCTCGTCGAAAGCGTCGATCATGATCATGACGCTGCTGCCAGCTTGCGTCAGCACCCTCAGGAGAGTGGCAGGCCTCCACTTGGAAGTGGCTTTAGGGAACACTTCCTTGAGAATGTCGAACACTCTGAAGGTCCGAGTGGTGACGGCGTTGCAGTCCAAAAAGAGCAGGAACTGGAACGCCGCCAGGGAGGGCAGCGGGCATGGCGACGTGCTCCACAGCTCGGCGTAGTAGCGCAGGAGGGAGGTCTTGCCCGTACCCGACTCCCCCTGCACCACCAGGGTCTGCCACGCCCCCCGCGCCCCGACCACGCCGTCACTCTCCACGGGCACCAGCGTCCTGGAAGAGAAGCGCAAAATGTACTCGTGTTATGACAACGGTCACCCTCGAGAAACAAAGTCTGGGAGGGACGTTAGAAACGAAAGTAGTGTATAGATGTGTATCTATGTAT